CTTCCGAAGCCTCTCCACATGGTACCCTTTCTCCTCCATGGCTATTCTTAGAGATGCCTAATTTTCCTTCACTGCTTCCTTATACCCCACTGTCACCCTTCCTAGCCCTAAACTGATCCCCTCCCCAACCTGGGACTACTGGCACCCTCTGTTCTGTATCCACTGGGCACTTGACTGGTACTCTCTACACTGTTTTTGCAGCTTCCATACCCAGGGCTACTCCCTCCTGGGGACATGACAAGTGACACTCATGTCCTTGGTTTTCCTCTTGCTCATGTGGATGGTCCTTCCCGGACTCCTCTGTGGCTCCCTCTTCCTCTACCTTTCTGAAGTAGCAAACCTGTTTCCAGAGCATTCTTGGGCTTTCTTAACATGGACTCCACAAGTGCCTGGAACATACTTTGCCGTGCCTTTAATCACTGCCTCTGCCTCAGACTCAAGTTTTGTTTGGTTTTTACAATTTGTATTTGTTTTGTTCTTTATTATTTTTTAAATTTATTTTTTATGTGCATTGGTGTTTTGCCATGGATGTCAAGTCCCCTGGAACTGGAGTTACAGACAGTTGTGAGCTGCCATGTGGGTGCTGGAAATTGAACCTGGGTCCTCTGGAGGAGCAGTCAGTGCTCTTAACTCCTGAGTCATCTCTCCAGCCCCTAGACTCAAGTTTTTATCTCTGATCTAGACCCTTTTTCATGAGGTCTAGATACTTATGTCTGATTGTCTCTTGGACTCTTCTTCTTCTTCTTCTTCTTCTTCTTCTTCTTCTTCTTCTTCTTCTTCTTCTTCTTCTTCTTCTTCTTTTTCTTCTTCTTCTTTTTCTTCTTCTTCTTCGTTTTTCGAGACAGGGTTTCTCTGTGTAGCTTTGGAGCCTATCCTGGCACTTGCTCTGGAGACCAGGCTGGCCTCGAACTCACAGAGATCCACCTGCCTCTGCCTCCCGAGTGCTGGGATTAAAGGCGTGCGCCACCAACACCCGGCATGGACTCTCATATGTTCTACAAGTACAGCAACAGTGTAGAGGTACTGAGAGGCTCAAATAGGAAAATCATGAGTTTGAAGCCAGCTTGAGCTACAAAGGAAGACGCTTCTCATTAAAAAACAACAAAACAAAACAAAAACTAAAACCAAAACTCCAATAATATCAAAAATCGACTTCATTGTCTCTGTTAGCCATGGAGGTGCAGGGCTGTCTATACTCCTAATCCTTGGGAAGCAGAGGCAGAAAGATCATGAGTTCAGGGCCAGTCTGGGCCATATACTGAGACTTTACCTCAAAACAAACAAACAAACCCACAGAAAAATAGCACTCCTCCTCTGTTGTCCACAGCTACTCATTTACTTGATCATTCTAAACACTCCCGGTCTTCTTCGGATTCCATTCATTATCAAGACTTGCTGATTTAACTCTGGCTTCTTTCACATCTCTCCACCCCCCACCCATCCCCACCCGCAGCCGGCACCATCTTCTCGTTTCCTGCAGTAGCCTTCTGGTTGATCTCTGAAATTTCTAACTTCCCTTCTGTTTTCCATGGGAGAACTGCAAGTGTGCAAATCTGTCAACTGCTTGAACTCACGATGGCTGCTGACGCCTCTCAGGAGGCAAGACCAGGGCCTGCAAGTTCTGAATCTTGCCTGCCTACTTGCTTAGCCCCTTGTTTAGTGCTTTCCCATCTCCTGATCATTCTTTCCTGTACTTGAGCTTTTACTCATTACCTTCTTCCTAACTCTTATGTACCTGGCAAGTTCCAGCTCAAAATTCATTCCTCTGGAGACATTTCTGATTTTACAAGCCTGGGATCGTCTTCTGTTGCAGAAAGTCAGCCATTATGTGTGTTGAGCCACTGCCCCATTTAATGATGTGAAGATCCTACCTTCTCAGAAGGGGTATCGTGAACATGAGCTTGCCCCTCGCTGCTGATAACTGGACAGGTGGTAGACACAAGCTAAATGCAGCTTGCCATGAGCTTGCCACTTACATCATTTGCTACCCAGAACAACTAAGGCAGTATCAAGACATGAGGCAGGAGGTTAGCATAGATGGAAGCTATGATGATGAACCCTTGAGAATCTTGGTTTTTTGACTGTATTGCTATCACTTTTCAGATATAAGCCACAGGAAAAAGATACATCACCCAGGCCGGTGCAGTGGCACACATCTTTAACCCCAGCATTTGATTAAAAAAAAAAAAATGGCTTGAGCCAGGCAATGTGTCATGTGCTCGAGGCCTTAGTTATTCTGTAGCCTGAGATGGGAGTTCCATACCAGCCTGGGCAAAACAGCAATACCGTATCTTGTGTGCATGTGACGATGCATACCTGTAATCCCAGAAACTGTGAGGAGGCTGAGGCAGGAGGATTGCTAGTTTGAGGTTGGTTTGGGCTACATAATGAGTTTGAGGCCAGCCTAAACTACATAACAAGATTCTTTCTCTTTCTTGACCCCCAAACAAAAACAAAACAACATTGGCTACTTCAAAGACTTTCTGGGCAGAAAAACCAAACATGGAGTTACGTGGCCAGGAACAGTTCCCGGAACCATGCTGTAGAACCAGTCCGGTGAGCAGAACTCTCTCTGGCCATACTGCAAGAGCAAGGCACTGAAGCTTGCATGGCCCCAGCTGCTGAGCCAGACATTGCTCCATGACCTCCGATGCCACAGAGACTCACACACTGTCCCTCCCTCTCTGTGATTATGAACTAATGGAAGCCTGGATGTGAGTCTGGTTGGTCACATACCTGGTGACCCAACTGCCAAGAGAGCCCAGGAAGTCAAATTTTATTTTCAACTTCTGAAATAGGAAGCATGTTCTGTTTCTCCAAAGATCTGAAAGTTGGAGAAACTTCCAAACAGAGAAGAGGTTCATGTTCTTTGTGCCTACTGAGTGGTCCTGTGTTTTACTTTCTTCAAGCGTCAGGTCCTGTACCAGGAACCCTGTTTAGGTTCATAAAGTAACAACAGTGGGGTTCCCTGCCTTGGTGCACAGGTACAGAGACAGCAATTAGTTGATTGATGACATTTTAATTTACTTGTTGTGTGTGGGTGGGGGCACACATGCCATATTACCTGGGTGGAGACAAGTGGACAAGGTGTGGGAGTTGGTCCTCTCCTTCCACTATGTGGGTTCTAGGAATCATACTTGGGTGGCAAGCTCCTTTTACCTGATGAACCGTCTTGCAAGCCCTGATTTTTATTTCCTAATAGACTGATAATGATCTATTTCATTTAGATGGTCAAATGTATTATGTTTATACTTTTTAAAATAATTTCTTTTTAAAAAATAATTTACTTTTTATGTGCACTGGTATTTTGCTTGCATGTATGCTGGATCTCCTGGATCTGGACTTACAGACAGTTGTGGGCTGTCATGTGGGTGCGGGGAATTGAATCCGGGACCTCTGGAAGAGCAGCCAGTGCTCTTAACTGCAGAGCCATTTCTCCAGGCCCTACATTTATACTTTTTGTTTTGTTTTGTTTTGTTTCCCAAGACAGGGTTTCTCTGTGTAGTTCTGACTGTCCTGGAAATTGCTCTGTAGACCAGGCTGGCCTTGAACTCAGAGAGATCTGCTTCTGCCTCCCAAGTGCGCCACCACCGCCCAGCTTACATTTATACTTTTAATGATATGTATTTGTTATTATGTCTGTGTATGCATACACCCACATGTCACAACACACATATAAAGGCAGAGAACAACTGTGTAGAATCAATTCTCTCCTTCCACCTTTATATGAGTTCCAGGGATCAAACTCAGTTCTTCCAGCTTGCATGGCAAGTATTCTCTACCAGTGAGACATTTTTTGTTTGTTTTTGAGACTGGGTCTCACTGTGTAGCTCTGGCTATCCTGGAACTTGCTCTGTAGACCAGGCTGCCCTAGAACTCACAGAGATCTGTCTGTCTCTTCATCCTGAGTGCTGGGATTAAAGGTATGTGCCACTACCCCCAGCCCATTTATACTCTTATCACTTGTTCAAACCTCTGTATTTAGGAGCTCAGTGTTGTTTATTGGTACCCCTTCCTCCAGGAATACCACCATTTCATCAGTTTATAAACTGGCCAGCTTGCTTGGATCCAGGTACACTATGTAAACTGATGGAAGATACCAGGAATGGGCACCTTGGCGAAGGTGAGAGCAGTGGCTGCTGACCTGGGAAAGAATGTTGGTGTCTCTAGGCTTATACACAGTAATGTCTGTTTTGCTTTATCTCATTCACTCCTACAACTGGCTGACCACAATCTCTGGGTCCTATTTTGGGACTAGAGAGTAGTTTAGCTCTTAAGAGTGGTACTGTTCAGCCGGGCGGTGGTGGCACATGCTTTTAATCCCAGTACTCGGGAGGCAGAGGCAGGTGGATCACTGTGAGTTCGAGACCAGCCTGGTCTACAAGAGCTAGTTCCAGGACAGCCTCCAAAGCCACAGGGAAACCCTGTCTCCCCCCCCCCCCCCAAAAAGAGTGGTACTGTTCTTTCAGAGGAGTGGAGTTTGGTTCCCAGAATCCACAGTGGGCAGCTCA